CCCGATTTTGAACCGGTTCGAACCATCGAACCGTAACCCAATTAGTCGTCCGACAACAATGTTTATAGCTCTAAAAGAGTTGGATTGTTAGGGTGGCTCCATTAACACAACTTTAATACAACAAGATTACAAATTGATTGAGCTGTAAAAGAGTTGTACCTATCAAACAATTTTAATGGTCTAGTTGTATTATTACTATTAGAAGGTTTGGCACCAAAAATAAGTTTAATAAATATAATTAAAATTTTAGAATTCATTTTATAGTTTTAATCATTTTTAGTAGACTTTACCCTCGTGATAAATACTAATTTAAATTCTATCCATCCATCCACCAAATCCCTATAGATAAGCTCAGCTGACATTGGATTGTGGAACACTAAGTTCAAATTGCTACATTTTTAATCAAGAATAAATGAAACCACGTTTCTTGAAATATAAAGAATCGTTTTTTTTTTCAATTTTGCTATATCATGTAAATATGCAACGGAAATATATTATTATTTTTTTTTTTGTGGGAGCATTAATTATTATATTATTAATTACTAAATAAAACGTGGGAATTTGAGTTATTTATTTTAGTAGCTGATAAATTAGCTAGACAAAGTTAAAATAGAAATTTTCGAAATTCTATAAATAACCAGAGTAAATTCATTTTCACAATTAAACAAAAATAATTGTCTTCAATAATGATCTGCCGTAAAATTTGTCAGAAAAATTCACGGAGCTTCAGCCAGTGGCGGCGGTTTCTTGTTTACTCCGCCGCAGCTCCGCAGCCGTCGATCACCGGCGAAGCCGCTCGGAGGGCCAATTTTGAAGTGGGTTCTCTATTTCGAGCTCAAGTCAGTATTTTTACAAACCCCAGAACGTCGATTTGGAACGGAGGAAATTCTGTAAGTCTCTGTTGTAAATTCAGTGTTCATATGGATTTAACGTGTTAATTTTATTTTTCCGCTCTGGAATTGTCGATTTGCTACACGTGGCGTGCGCCTACGTGTGTGTGTCTGAATTGTTCGACTGCAATAGAAAGAATGAGAGTGTAACTAAAGCTTCTAGTGAATCATTTTTCCCTCTCTGTAAAGATACAGTCTTGTGCGTGTGTGTGTGTGTGTTGTGTGTTTCAATTGGAGATGGGAAATTTCATATGGGTATGATCTAATCGAAATGTCATGTGAAGATTCTTGATTCCTTTATTCGTTTCGATAAGATTTTGAATTTCCTTCATACGGATGGATTGATATACTCTATGCCGGTTTTGATTGAATAAGTGGATTTTCTTGTTATTTTCGTGGGGTTGATATTTTGGTGGTTATTTATGTATACTCTTTTTTTTTTTTTTGTTTATCGTCCTCAGTCGAGCATTCCGTTTGGGATAAAATGGTGTCGATTCACAACTCAAACAATGCCCGATCATCGTCCAATTGGTGGTGTAGTTGACGTGCCTTTGGCACAAACTGGTGAAGGAATCGCAGAATGCGAACTTCTTAAATGGTTTGTGCAGGAGGTGAGTGGTGAAATGGAATATTCTTTTTTTTTTCTCGATTGATTTTTGTGTAATGTAAGTTCTTGAATCTTCTAATAGGGGGACCAAGTCGAAGAATTCCAACCACTTTGTGAGGTTCAAAGCGACAAAGCCACAATTGAGATTACTAGTCGCTACAAAGGAAAAGTTTATTCGCTTCTCCATATTCCAGGCAATATTGTAAAGGTAACGACATAGTTTGCAAAAACGAATAATTTTTTTACTCAAAACGAAAAGAAAAAAACCCCGGGCTGCCTATCAAGTTGTAATGGTTTTAGGAACGTTTTATAATAGGTGGGAGAAACTCTTTTAAAGATGGTTGTCGACGAAACTGCTTTCTCCAGTCAATCTGTCGAAGCTCCAGAAATTATTAAGGCACATGATTTATGTATAAAAGAATTGGACATTGTTGACTCGAAAGTAAAGAATGATGGACCGGTTCTATCCACTCCAGCTGTTCGTAATTTTGCGAAACAATTAGGCGTAAATATTGAAGAAGTGTGTGGGACCGGAAAAGATGGAAGAATATTGAAAGACGATGTGGTCAGTTATGCTGAAGGCGTTTCGAAGGAAAGTTCGTCATCCGTAAATGCTTCTTGTGTTGAAAAATACCTTGGAGCAGAAGAAAAATCCCAAGATATTTCGTTGATTTACGGGCAGGAATTCGAAGATAGGATCATTCCTCTGAGGTATATATATTATGAGTTTATTGCATTTAGTACCCTTGTGTTATATCAAATTGCACACAACCCCCTTAATAGTGAGTTTTTTAGGGGTACTTTCTTTAAAAAAAGAAAAGAAAAGTATGAAGTGAAGGTTAAAATGGTAAATGGCTTTACTTTTTGCAGGGGTTTTCAACGTGCTATGGTTAAATCGATGACATTAGCTGCAAAAATCCCGCATTTCCATTACGTCGACGAGATAAATTGCAATGCACTTGTTGAGCTTAAAGCATCGTTCCAAAGTGAGAATTCCGATCCGAGTGTAAAGTACACTTTTCTCCCTGTGTTGATAAAGTCACTTTCTATGGCGTTGACCAAATTCCCGTTGCTAAATAGTAGCTTCAACGAGCAATTGCAAGAGGTGACACTCAAGGGTAAATTTTTTGACTTATTTTAAAGAAATTAATTATCGACTTCCAATGCCTTCCATCGTAGAAAAACCGAGAAATCCCTTTTTTTAATATTCAAATAAAAACGCGGGCTTATTAGATTTTAGAATATTTTATACTTAATAAACAAATCATTTTATTAAACAAGTTCTTCGTTTTTTCGTGTTGCCAAAGGATCTCACAATATCGGGATTGCAATGGCAACTCCACATGGTTTGGTAGTACCCAACATAAAGAAGGTTCAGTGTCTCTCAATCTCGGAGGTCAGTTCTAATATTTTGTTTTTAAAAATTTATTTTCTTTTCAAGAATTAATTAATTATTATTATTTATTTTTTAAAATATTCGTTTTCCATCAAATAATTTGTTAATGAATATAATCAGATTACGAAAGAGCTCTCGCGACTTCAACAATTAGCTCTAGCTAACAAGCTTAGCTCAGATGATATATCCGGTGGAACTATTACTTTAAGCAATATCGGTGCAATTGGCGGGAAATTTGGCTCCCCTCTTATCAATGTTCCGGAAGCTTCCATAATTGCTATCGGAAGAATCCAGAAACTTCCGCAGTTCGATGAAGATGGAAACATCTATCCTGCATCGGTTATGACTGTAAGCCCCGAAATCGAAATCTTCGCACATATATCATTCCATTACTAATGAAATTATTTTTTTATATATATTTGGCTAATTAATGTGATTTCTGTTATTTATTTAATTTTCAGATAAATATAGGTTCGGATCATAGAGTTCTTGACGGGGCGACAGTAGCAAAATTCTGCAACGAGTGGAAGCTGTTTATCGAAAAACCCGAGCTTTTGATGCTGCATATGAGATGATGATTCGTAGCTGACGGAATATTCCACTGATGGACGGAATATTCCGAGAAATTAATTCATAAGGGCTGGTGTAGCTGTAATAAAATGGCTTGTGTGCTACAATTTCTTGAATTCTTCTTAATGATGGAAACTCTTTTTTAATTATATTTCTAATTTCAGTATGTTAAATCTTCTATTTCAATAGCAATTCCAATGGAGGAATGCCTTGAGGCATAATGCCTCAATTATTTTACTTTCATATTCCAATTTTCTCAAAAGATAATTCTCCAAGGAAATATTATAAATAAATCGACATTTAAAAACAAATAAAATTAAAAAAAGGATAAATTAAAAATAAATAAATAAAACCCTCATGTTTGGGTAATTACAACCACACCCCTCAA